TATGACGAATGTAAAGTATGATTGTGTATAAGCTTGTCAACGAAAAATGGAATATATCCATTATTTTATCCATTTCATTAGATAACATATGATATACACACATGCACACACATGTACATATAACAGAGCGAGTTTTACTAAAAAGTATTATTACCAACAATCTTAAAATATATAAGTTTTATAAAAAAATATCTCGGATAAAATTTGTTTAGTTGAAGGAGACATTCTGTAGTCAATACAGTTCCAAAATTTTCAAGATCACGTCAATTTTTTAAAATTGAACCAAGTGTGTTTTTTCTTACATAAATCGGATTTTCCTCATTATCCTGCAGAGAAAATATATTAATCTATATTTTATATATTAAGATTTTAAAGATATCTTATATTTTTGTCATGATACATTTCTAATGCAAAATATAAAATATCTCATAAAATTTTTTTCAATATTCTTATGTAAACATTCTACATTTTATATATGAATAACAAGAAAATTTTCAATTCACGTTCTACTTTTTTGCACAGGTGCAATACATTTGCAATAAGTAATTGGACTCTTTCTTTAAATGTGATTACTTATCTTTTAAATCGATTCTTGTTGCCATTTTATATATAAATTTATTTTTAAAAAATTATTAAAAAATAAATGTGAGATATTTCATGTTTCATACATCAGAATCAAGGTAAAATATAAAATATTTCATTAATTATTATGACTTTGAATGTCAATTTCTTTCACGTTCGTAATGATGAAGAAAATTGATTTATGTAAAAAAAATATACAGTTTTACAAAACTACGAACAATCTGGAGAATTTTCAGAATCATTTTCATCTGGACAAAATATCCAAAAGATATCATGTAAATCTGGGATTGAATTAATCATAGATTCTCACTTGAAACTAAATAAACTTAATCCAAAAGATTTTTCCACGATACTCATATCTTAAGATTAATTGGGAATTGTATAATTTCGTGCACAATTTACACGCACGCACGCACGCACGCACGCTCTCTCTCTCTCTCTCTCTCTCTCTCTCTCTCTCTCTCTCTCCTCTCCCTTCTCCCATCTCTCTCGCTATGGTATGTGTATGTGATGTACACACATATAAGCTGTCTAGTAATGTATAAATCATCTTTAGATAGAACCGACTAAATTGATAAGTTCTGTATTATTTTACAATTTTCGTAATAATTAATGACATAATCATTATCAAAAAAGATTCTCAAATAAGTATGGCGATGCTTAAATAATGTGTCCGCCCGAAGAGACAGCTCAGTTTTGCATATGTTCATAGTTATTAGGAACGTTGTGAGATGTTTAAAAATCTTTAAGTGACATTTGCTAACCAGAAGCAATTTGTAAATATCATGCTGTTCGTATAGAGCACACTTCCGAATATCTCACCGCGTCTCTTCATGCGGACGCACGCTCATTTGTGGATCTTTAATTATTATTTCATTAAATATTGCGAAAATTATAAAATGATACAGAACTTCTCGATTCAGTTTAGCTCTCTAATTAGCCATGAACGAGATGATTCGTAAATTATGAAACAATCCTGTATATGTGTGCATGCGTGCATGTATTAATCATAAGTATTTAAAAGATAGAATAAACAATTAAGTCGAAGAATGTACTTAAAACGGATAGACGAGGATCTTGCTTTAATGTTTTTTACCCACTCGTGCGTACTTAAGAAATTGTTATTGTATAATTTATATTTCATATATTCATCAAAACTTACGTGCTAAGTAAATTCAGTCCAGCCGAAATTGTAATTTTAGAAGAAAATGCAACTGAGGAATAAATTTTATCGAAATATAATAAGTTTATCTAGAAAATAAATAAAATTTTATTCATCTCATATGAAAACACGAACACGCCGATTACGTACTCAATTCAATTGCAATTTCAATTAAATACGCTTCTTTTTAATTAAACAGTTTTTAAATATGTCTGTACTTTTTTTCTTTTTGTACGACATGCTTGCCGTTTATTCGCACCAGTGCGAAAAATATAGATTTAGATCAGTTTGTCATTTCAATTGGAAGAAAAACAAAAAAGAAAGAAATACAGGATGGTCTGCTTAAATTGGAAACTTTGAATATTTCACTTATGTTTGATAATAAACAAAAAACAAATTCAGTTGAAAGTGAAACAGTTTCAAAGTAGACGTATTTTAGTCACGTTGTTTTTTTAGATGGAGACGCCAAAAAGATATGAATGATATGATTTTTTTACATAATATAATTCCTCTACATATAAAAGTATTAAGGTAGAGATATCAACAAAATAGTAGTTTACGAGATATTTTGTATTTTATTTTTACATCATATTGATATAAAATATTAAATATTTCGTAAACTATTAATTTTTTTATAATCGTATCTTAACTCTTATGATCAAAATAGTGAAATTAATTAATTAATATAAAGAAAATATATAGTTGCTTTAAAAAAATATGTAGGCAAAATGAATCTTTTAAGTACGCAACTATGTGTTTTCTTTACATCAATCGATTTATCTCATTATTCTGTTCATAAAAATATTAAGGTATTTTAAAACTTTAAAGTAATTATAAAAAAAAATTAGTAGTTTACGAGAATTTAATATTTCATGTCAATTCTGCGTCAAAATAAAATATATATCTTCGAAACTATTGGTTTTTTAATATCTCTATTTTAATATTTTCACATGCTGAATTAAAGAAATCATATTATATTACACTGTTATTAGGTCTGTTCGAAAGTTATCCCCATATATTACAATTTTCTCAATATTTTAGCCGTAATATTTTTTTGTATTTTTCTCCTAAAATATCATTTAAAAATTCTCCTAAATTTTTTGTATCTAAAAAATCCTTCAGTGAGAAAAAATCTCCATATCTGGTAGAATTTCTACTAAGTTGGAAACACTAATTATGTAAAAAAAAAAATCATAATTTCATTTAAAAAAAAAAAAAATGTGACCAAAACACGTTATCGGAATCATTTCAATTTTATTTGAAACATTTTTTCGTATCATTAAAAATAAATAAAATATTAAAGGCTTCCAATTTAAGTACTCCACCCTGTATATGTATATATATATATAT